GCGATTATTGAATGTGATCCATCTGGATTATTGTTGAGCTATATCGAGATAATATATTGTTTAGCTGTGACCACCTCTCTAATTTTAAATTACTTGGCAAAATCCATTTTAGGTCATTTGCTGTTAATTCGTTTCCTCTTAAGAAAACTTTGGCTTGGAAGGACTCATCAATTCTGATTGTATTATTAATAACTGTTAAGTATTCATCAAAGGTTAAGTTGTAAAAATTTTTTTAAAAATTCTTCAAACCAGAGAAAGAAAATATAATGTCTTTTTTTAAACAGTTTTCAACTTCCTCTTCTTGCCTTGGGATAATGGTTACTCTTCTTTTTTCAGGGTCAGTACTTTTAGCTTTTGTTTCTAGTGAATGATAATTTGGCAGATTAAAAAACTTACTTGGAACAGCGTTCTTGTTCAATTTAGGGTATTTCAAAGGTACTTGTTTATTTGTCCATAGGGTAAACTGAATTCACTGAACCGCACAATATCACTGTCACAAAAGTGGTTGGCACATACTGCACTACCTTTTGTAGGCATCCAGTCTTTGGGAATGAAAATGTAGAGACCGGGATCCTCAACTTCCAAAGTTGTGTCATAGTTGCGATTTCAACCAGGAACACAACACCGGCGAGGCATCTAAAACAACAGACTAATTATTTATTTATCACAAGTTTCTCAACAGATACAATTATTAGAGAAACACCATACATATAATGAAAAGGAAGAAGTAGCTTCGAATACTACTACTACTACTACTACATTTTTGGGGAAAATCCTTTACAGACTTATTTAGAAAACATAACCTAGAAATAACTATTTACCACTTTGTGGATATTTGTTATTCAATTAATAGCAAATCACTTTAAAATCTTTAGAACAACTAGTCAAGTATTGGGATAGATTACTTGTACCAGTCAGAGGAAAACGAGATTTTCAGACCAAACATTAATGGTTAGACAAACTATCTATCAATTTGAGACTGACAGATTGTGAACTGCAATAAAACTATGCGTTCTCCACACACACAAGCATTTTGTCATTCTAATCGGCCGATAGAACACCAATGTTGTTACCTAAGACGTTAGGAAAAAAAACTCGTAGCACTTGTACTCTTATTACAACAGCCAGTAGCATGTTTGTTGAAATGAGATGTTTCATCCCATATGATATTGGTGTGAAAGTTGAGAACCAGTGCTACAAATTATCTGAATAACTATCTCAGTATGGATGATATGTGCTTTAATGAACTTTTATCGATGGTGAAGCCATCAATATCAAAGATGATGAAAGCAATTACAGCCGAAGATCAACTGTTAGTTACCCTTCAATATTTGGCCACAGGATGAAGTTTAGAAGATTTAAAATTCTCTGCAGTTATTACAACTCAAGCTCATGGAAAAATAATACCAGACACTCGTCTCGCTTAGATTTACGTACCTTTTTTATACATGGTGTTTTCAAAGTTGAGTCATTTATTTTGACTGCTTTTAGGACTCGTCAAACGGGGTTGATACACCAAAAACTGCCTATGTAAGAGTTACATAATAAAACAAATAATAAAAGATTAACAATTTTAAAAATTAGGGATGTTATTACACATTTTCTGATATTCTCGACCACTGCTGTGTAAAATGTTGGCATTTTTTTTTACTACTCTTATCGCTTAACTAAATCTACCAAACTTTTTGTGATATTGTATGGTTTTCAGTACGAGTCTTTGGTACGATCAGTTGTATCAGTCTTTTAGTGGTGCAGTGTCTGATTATTTTGTGCGAGAATATGTCCCATGTTAATGAAAACAATGATTAACTAGAGGACAGAATACTAATATGCAGATACTGTCAACGAATTGCGGCCGCAGCAAGCAGGTTTCATGTGGAAAAGAAATTATCCGATCCCACGAATGTTTGTAGATTTAATTATTAGATTTCGTGACGCAGGATATATAAACGCACAACGAAAAGGTCACGCTGGAAGACCTGCTCTACCTTTGAATGTGCACATTTAAAAGAAACATCATCATCATCAATATCATATGAAAGGGATTTATGAAAAAAAAAAAGCAAAGTTACGTCATTCTTCTACGATCTGATAATGAAGCCAGGAAGTGGTCATAGAACCTTTCGAGTAGAGCCTCCCTCAAGGGCGGATTTAGGATTTCGTCTAGGGGGGTGGGTGGTCGCAAACGTTATTTGGGGCTGGTCTTGATCATGTCTTCAGACTGTCTCCAGACTGCCTATAGAAAAATTGCTCAACGTGGTCTACTAGTATGTACTAATCTTAAGGATTAAGACTCTGAACTGCCCATTAAACAAATCATGTACCTGATGCAAATACTGACACAATCAAGCACTTCTATTATATCAGCAGGAGATAAAAGTAGTAACAATAAGTAAAGTCATTTTTTTTTATTTCATACCGGAGCAGCCGTGCAGGCAGAAACCTAAATGCCTGAACGCCCTGGCTGCTATGATGATCCCAAAGAAATTTTGTTAACCCTATTTTTGAACGGCCTGAGGTTAATAGAACTGGAAAAAGCTTCCTCTTGTAGATTGTTCTACAATCCCGACACCCTCGGGACTAAGGAGCGGTCGTATCGGCCAGTTCTGGATGTACGAAGTTTGACACGGTTAGGATGGGAGGTCAAAGTCAGACGGGTCTGAGTGGCAAGCACATCTCGCGGCGGCATCATGGAAGAGAGCTCTGAGGAGCAAAGCCCGTTGGTGTAGCGGTAGAAAAGATCTAGATCGCTGAGAGCCCGCCGGTGCGAAAGAGTTCCGAACCTGTCTGCTAGAGAAGAGTCATCGATCAGTCGAACAGCCCTCCTCTGGACAGCATCGAACATAAATAATTTATTCCTGGCGACAGCACCACAACCCTATGAGCAATACTCGATGCTAGGCTTTATCTGGGACTTGTATAGAGTGAAAAGGTCATGCGGAGAAAGGTACTTCTTAGGCCTAAACAAATAACCTAAATTTTCCCAGCAGCTACCTCTATTGACGAGATGAGTTCGTGCCAGATCAGATCCTCGGTGATCTGGGCTCCGACCTGTCGAAATGAATGGCTCTTTAGCAGAACTCGGCGATCCATCGAAACCGGATGAGCGGTAGAACGCTTTTTGTTCGTCAAGGTGTGTTTCGGAAGCATTTAACTGTTGCGTCCCCAACCAGTGATGACCTCCAGGTCTCTCGTCAGAGAGGAAGTGGTCGCTAGTCTTCTTTTTTCCAGCTCAGCGGCAGACATCGGCTTGTCACTCTGAATTCCTGCATGTAGAGTGCTGCCATCAGCGAAGCTG